TGTGACACCTTTATTTAAGATGCATGATAAATTACTTTGATTATTTATATATATTCTGCGGGGTTAGAAGGGTGTTACATTAGTGGTATCATAGCAGGTAGGCCCATCCGGCCAAATTGTCTAATGTTGTTTGTTCCCTAGTATGTGACATGTGTGTGAAAACATGGTTGGTACTTGTTTGTCTTTCTAACCTTTGTCCGCAAGAATGGGATTGAAACAAGTGGGGGAGAAGCTTGTGCTTCTCCAAGATGCTTCAGGTGTGGAGTGGTGGCTCAGTGTGTCGTTGAACGCTATTATAGTTTGGTAAAGATGGTTTATGCTCCATCATGATTGTCGGTTGTCTATTGATAAATTAAGGAATTGATCACCCTTAATCTCTTATTGATAGTAGATGGGATTATGTTGGATGGGATAGATGTGTCTTTCCAGCTTAGATGGTGTGTGAAGTCAATTGTTTGGAGTTAAGCAAAGTGCTTGCAAATTGTTTTGATGAGTCAGTGCAGAATGGTGATAAGATGTTTGTGTTGATGGCAACTTTGAGTATTAATGAAAGTGAAGCAGTTGGTACTTTTCCAATTGTTTGGGATTTTCCAAAAGTTTTTCCTGCTGAGAAAAGTGATTTACCGTCTGAACGTGAGGTGGAGTTCAAGATCGACTTAGTTCCTGGAACTAGTATGGTATCAATGGCTCCATAACATATATCTGCATCAGAATTGAAAGAGTTGAACAATCAACTCGAAGATTTGCTTGAGAATAGATTTATTCGCCCGAGTGTGTCAGCGTGGGGTGCACCAGTTTTGTTGGTCAAGAAAAAAGAAGGTTCTATGAGGCTTTATGGGGATTGTAGACAATTGAACAAGGTGACTATCAAGAATAAGTATCCACTTCTAAGGATTGATGATTTGATGGATCAGTTGGTTGGTGCAAGTGTGTTCAGTAAAATAGATTTGAGATCTGGGTATCATCAAATTCATGTGAAAACTAAAAATATTCATAAGACTGCTTTTAGGATGAGGTATGGTCATTATGAGTATTTTGTGATGCCATTTGGTGTGACTAATGCACCAGGTATATTTATGGAGTACATGAAAATGATTTTCCATCCGTATTTGGACAAGTTTGTGGTTGTGTTTATTGATGATATTTTGATCTATTCGAAGAGTGAAGAGGATCATGCTGAGAATTTGAAATTTGTGTTATCAGTGTTGAAAGAGAAGTAGTTGTATGCTAAACTTTCTAAGTTCGAGTTTTGGTTGAAGGAAGTGAGTTTCCTTGGCCATGTGATTTCAAGTAGAGTTATTACAGTTCATTCGTTGAAGGTTGAAGCAGTATCACAATGGGAAGCTCTAAAATCAATTTTTGAGATTAGAAGTTTTCTTGGTTTGGCAGTGTCATACCCCAAATTTTGACCTCTAGATTCCATCACCATCCTAGAAGAATCAAACATATTTGCTAACCCTAACTTTGCTTCAAGTTTACTTTTGTGTGGGCTCCACCTGAATTAGGGTTTTGCACCTTTGGTATCAAGAGGATTATTGCTTGATCAGTTAATATTTTAGATTGATCATCATCAAATCAAGTTTCCATACAATCAAGAGGTCTATATTAAACAAGAATCAAGTGCTAATTGATCCCATTGCAAGATCATTGGAGCCTAATTTTAGCTAACCCTACATTGTAGGTCTGTCTCATGTAGTCCAAGTTCAAAATCAAATTCCCCCAAAACAATCAAATTCAATTCATACCATGCTACAATCAAGTTCTTAAGCACAAAAATTTCAAGACATTTCACAATATAAGTGTTCATCAATTTCCATTATGTTCAATTCACTATATTGTTCATACAAATTCATTCAAAAAACAAACAAACCAAGAGCATACGCAATACACATTTGCAAGATTGTGGTACGAGAAAAGAGCAAAACAGAATCACGTGGGATCCTATGGTATTTCACTACAGACAAAACTGAGACAATTTCTGAAAACCGTACGTATACATTCCACCTTCAAAATTCAGAATTGTAATTCGTACCATCATACCTTATTCTTTATCAACAAGTTTTCACAAAAAAAACCCTAATCATACTCATTATATATACACTATCACTATTCATCCAGGGGCGACGACGAAAGACATCAGAGAAGAAAAAAACCCTAAGAAATTTCTACATAGAAACCATAAGTTCCACTAAAGCTCAGATTTAAAATAGTTTTGAGTCTCGCACTAAGACTCAAAATTTCTTGAGCAAAGAATCCCTAATCCGAAGCAAGCCACACATAAATTCGTAGAGGGGGAAGAAGAAGAGATAAGGTTCGGAATAAGAGAGGAGAGAGACTTACCCGAACGTGTCTCAATGCTTCTTTTGGGGGACTTTTCAAGGAGGTAACCTTTTGAAATTTGCTTCTGTTGATCTTGAACTATCCATGCTTATTTGTTTGTTGTAAGATGTTTCTGCGTAACTTGGCCTATCCTCCTTACTCTATTTTGCTAGATTTTAGCTAATTTACAAACTAGGGTTTTATTTTGGAATATTAGGATTAATGGGTTTAGAGTAGTTTTCTATAGATTTGGGCTTCAGATTCGTGTTCTACGGGTTCGGTTTAGAGGTTTTAGGTTGGTATTTAGGTGGTTAGTCGGAGAAGGACGGCGGCGGCCATCGCGCGCCACCGCCTTCTTCGGCGAGTTCATTTGCTCTTGTGATGTTTCATATGCAGAGAGAGAGAGAGAGAGAGAGAGAGAGAGAGAGAGAGAGAGAGAGAGAGAGAGAGAGAGAGAGAGAGAGAGAGAGAGAGAGAGAGAGAGAGAGAGAGAGAGAGAGAGAGAGAGAGAGAGAGAGAGAGAGAGAGAGAGAGAGAGAGAGAGAGAGAGTTAGATGGAGAGAGAACTAAACGAGAGAGTGAGAGTCCTTTGGAGTTGCTTTGCATGTGTGTTTTTTATGCTGATGAGCTTTCATCCATTGCTTGCATGTCTGTGTTTCTTTTGGCCATTTGATTTCTATTGATGACACATGTCACCATCATGATGCATCATGAGATCACCCTTTGTTTTATCCTACGCACGTATTCATTTCCCTATATCGTGTGCATCCATTCGTAACCGTTTGATCAAGAATCTCCTTGACTCTCCTAGATCCAATGCACCAGGTCATTCCAAGAGTCAATGATAATTGACTGAGGATCATGGTGTACCTTCATCCGTGTGGACCTCTGATATTGGGCTTGGGGTTTTATTTTTGATTGAACCCCCCTTGTTTATTGTTTCTGGCCTAACCTAATCCTTTTTTTATCATTATTTTTTTCTTTTTTTATTTTATTTCTTTTTCTAATTTTATTTTTTATTTATAATATGTTAAAATAAAAAAATTTATTATTTAATTACTTTAAATACTTTCATTTAATATTAATTAATTAATTAATTATATTAAATGTTTTTTATTTAATTTGATGGATTTAATTTATTTGTTAATTCTCTTTTTAATATATGAAAAATTCAAAAAAAAATATTTTTAATTAATTCTTAATTAATTATATTAAACCTTTTATTTAATACTCTAATTTTTATGTTTATTTTTATTAAATACTTAAATTTAATTAAATTAATTATTTAAGTTAGTGTTATTTAATTATTTTTCATAAATACTAAAAAATCAAAAAAATATAAGTTAATTGTTAATCACTTTGAACTTGTTTTTAATTATTTAATTTGGTTAATGATTTCTTCCTTTATTTGTATTTATGTGTGATATCTTTTCTTTTTGGTTTATGTTTGAATTACGTGTTTGTTCATTGTATGCATGCTTGATATTGTGGGTGCTTGCTTTAATTTTATTATCCACATTCGTTAATGTACCCCATTCCCATGAGTTAATATATTTTATCGCTTTGCTCTCTTCGATTGCGCTTAGGAAGTTTTTAATCAAGATTAAAATCAACCATATTTTTTATAAAAAAAATCACAAATAAGCTTGATCCAACGTCAAACATTTTTAAAACAAACTCAAGTATTCACCAATTCATTCTCAAGTATATCAAACAATTGAAAATATTTGTGCATGAGAATAACAACAATTGAGAATTATTTTAAATCTATCTTTTTTTTTTGTATTTTATGCTAATAACTTATTTTAACATTTAACATTTATGTATTTTCTTTTAATGTATTTTGTTCTTTAATATATATTTAGTTTACTTTGATTCATTTTAGTCTTAAATATTTTTTTGTCTGTGTAAGTTGACATGTTTTTTATTTTCGTCTTTATATTTTTTTGTTATTGTTGGATAAAGTCATTAAATACTAAATTTCTTTTAGTTTTAATTCCCAGATCTAAAAGCTTTAAATTTAAATGCATGATTTTTAATGTATTTTAATATATTTGAACTAATTTATTTCAATTATATTTTTTATGTAATATAAATATATGATATATTGTGGGGTTTAGTGAGATTTATTATAATTTTTTTATAGAAATTTTGATAACATATATGTATATTTAAAAAAAGAAATTGAATTGTTTAAATAATCTTAAGATGTAAAATAATGTAAAAGAAATGAGTAGACTCATTTTAAATGGATTTGATGCTATTACATTTACACATGTTTCAATGTTTCATAGGCTTTTTCAAATTATAGTTTAATTGGTAAGCATCGATTTTAAACTGTCATTCAATAAAAATATATTAATCTATTATATTATACAATTAATTTAAAATTTACAAATTAATGTGACAAAATACATGAGAGTCATTGAATGACAGTGTAAAATAATGTTAAAACATTCTAATTAAATTTAAGAGATTCAAACATGTATACAGTTTTACCAAAAAAAAAGACGAAGAGATTCTCACATATTCTTCAATCTTCTATCCAACATTTTTAATTTCAACTTAAAATTTATTTCACACTTTCTAATAAGATACCTTATTTGATCATCTTTACAAATATTAATTGAAAATATACAAGTACATAAAGAACATAATTTTAATTTAAGGATATGCATTAATCAATTTTGAATTAAAGTTGCATATAGAAGCTGATTCCAAGTATCAGGAACACCAGCTAAGCACCAATGGCTGCAATCCATGTCCCTATGTCCTCCATGTCCATAAACTGATGGGTGACCATCTTTTCTAAGCTGTGATAAAGTTGTAATATCGAGCAAGTTTATAGGCTTTTTCATGGAACTTAGAACTCTTTCTAGAACCAATTCTGCTGGGTGTGGGCCTCCTGGATACTTGGTTCCTAATAATGGTTTTTCTTGTCCTTCACAAAATTTTGCACTTTCTGTTGGTGTTCCCCATTGCTCTGAGCTGCAAATAATTAGAAAAAAAAGTTTTCATAATTGAGTAATTTCAATAAATTGTTTTCAGCCATAGACTAGTTGACAACATGATTTTAAATTGAGACACTCATGGAAATCATATGTATGATCCACATTAGACAATTTCACCCATAATTGCAATTTAAAATCATGATTAACATGTTTTAATTTTCATATCATAGTCAACTTAAAATCAACAAATACTTACTTAACATGATCCGGAGAGACTCCTTGGAAGAACACCTTTGTTTTAGTAATGTTAACATTGGCATCAATCCAATTGGCCCATGTTTTCAATCCTTTCTCGTAGGCAGCCAAACGATCCATATCTCTAAACCTATTATTCCCTACTTGAATAAAATCCCATCTGCATGAACAAAATTAAAGTCTGAAAATGATAGATACAAAGTAATATAGTAGAAAGATAAAGAAATGAAGAATGAGTTTTAATTACGGTTGTTTTCTTCCGGTGTGAAGCCACCAATGCCAAGAGTCAAAAATCAAGACATCAATTCCTTTCCATGTATTGGCAGCTTCAATAGAATCTAGTTTCAAAACTCTACCAATATTTTCACTAACAATGTCCACCAAAAATGCATTGCGTGAGAACATCACCTTAACATTGTAGCTCTGCAAAAAAGTTGTCAATTTTTGCATTTACCATAACGCATTAAAAACATTTCCATTTATGAGTTTCTTTTCTCAGATAAATTGTTTGGTTACATTTTGTTGCTTGTACGTGTGGAACTCAAATACCTTGATAATGAAATACTTAATAAAGAGACTACTACTGGGAGGTCAATTATATCATTGCATGATTGCATTTAAATTGTTATTACTTGACCATGATATTTCACTTAATTTCAAGATTATCAATTTATGGCTGCAAACTTTGCAACTCTGATTTTTTTCCCTATAAAATTGTGGTTATATTGAATTATTAAATTTATAAAATTATTGTTGGTTTTGATGTCTCATGTCACTGTTGTACATGTCTATCTACTATATGTTATATATTTTGAATAAAATTGTTGTATTCGGCTTATATTTTTGAAAGTATCCTCTACACCGTGGTATTTAATAAATTATAGAAAAAACATCATTGTAACTCTATTGACTATGACTAATAAAATTTCAGGAATTATGTCTATATGTTTATTCGGTGTTTAGATTCTCCTTGATTAATCGTGAATTCTTAATGATGATTAAAATAAGAGTCTTCTACCAAGATCTTGGATCGTAATGTTTGGCAATTAGCCATATATAAATTATCTTATGCATTTGAATCTCTTTATTCGGTTACTTCATTTGTGCAAGTTATGGGCTGTATGAGAATTATTTAACCCGAGTTATGTAAGGGCAAAAACATTTCTTAAGATTGGCTAAGAAATCATACATTTACAAAGTCTCTCATTATCTGGGAAATACTTTCTTAAAATCGGTTAAGAGTTCCAACATTAATATAGTCCCTCATATTATATCGGTTAAGAGTTCCAACATTAATATAGTCCCTCAATAATGAGATGTGTAATGGTTATATACTTTTTCGAGATTAGAGACTAGATAAGACGTCAAACATTTTCACGGTACTGCTTAGTCCGAAATTCATTCTTAAAATTTGCTAAGAGTAGCGGTGTGCATGGTTGGTTATTTTTAGAAAGGAAGCCACAATCATTTTTAAACCAGTTAAATGGTTTGGATTCATAACCATAATCACATTTCAATCAAAATTGATTATAAAAACCGTTATAAATTTGATTATGATTATATAATCGATTATTAATTATTTTCTTAAAAAAAAAAATTCAAAAAATTTAATTAGTGTTTAAAAAAATTAAATTTTCTATTCGAAAAATTTAATTTTTTTTTTCAAAAATTTAATTTTTTTTCATAAAAATTAATGTTTTCAAACACAAATTTATTTATTTTTTCACAAAAAATTAGTTTCTTTGAAAATTTTAATTATTTTTCACCAAAATTATTTTTTTTCCGTAAAAATTATTTTTTTTTCACAAAAGATATTTTATATTTCCACAAAAAAAAATTAAAATTATTCAAAAAAGAGTTATTTTTTTTCTAAAAATTTTAAATTTTAATTTGAAAATTAAAAAAAAATTATAATTATTGAAACATTTGAATTTTAGATAATAATAAGATTATAACCGGATCCAAAATTAAAATATGATTGAATAACTAACTATTAATAATTAAACTGAGTAATATCAATGTGATTAGTATCAATTTTTTACATATAATTTCTCATATTTTTTCAAACTATAAAATGAGTATTAACACATAAAAAGATTAATGTATCACTTTATTGTCATTAAAATTACTAATCAAACATAAATCAAAAAAGTAATTATGATTTCTTTTATCGAGAAATTTATATTAAAGTAAAATGGTTTTTATATATTTTTTTCTAGTTTATTAATGGATACATGTATAATATGGTTATTTGTGTCTTTATATATATTAAATATCAATTTGTTAAAATATCATGTGTTTATGTGTATATTTATTTTCATCTCACAAATTATGAATTTTGATTTTTAAAAAATTATAATAGATTTCAAGAATGATAATGAGTAAAAGAACAATAAGTATAAAATAAAAAATATAAATAAAAAAGTTAGAGGTCTAACAGCGAAGGTGAAAATGGAGAGATCACCCATTCTCAATAAGTTATAGTGAGCTTGTGGAACAGCTATACGAAGCATGCAAGTGAGTGATTGCCATTGATTCAAACTCAAAGAGTCCCCCACAAACAAAACACTTTTCCCTTTATATCTTCTTAAAAAATCTTCACCGTTGAATCTATAAGACAAAATTAATTCAAATTCACAAGTGAGTCCAAATGAAGCTGCAAGGTCTAAATCAGTATTAAATGAATTTTTTTGTTTGTTTCTAACTTGACAAGTGATCCTTATTTGTACACAAAATGGTTGAAAGTTACTTCACAACATGATCATCTCATCTCAGTTTCAACTTCTTCATGTATATGTCATTTGTTAGGTGAAGGATATACATGTATTTAAGGCTAATTATAATCTTTAACTAATTGTTCATGACAACTTAAAAAGACATCCTATCAAATACATAAATGATTTAAAATTTTAAAGATAGATGCAACAAAATATCATAATTCTCAAAATAGAGTTTTATTTAAGTGGCTAACAATTTACCACCCTTATTCTTTGCAAAGACATCGACTATGTTCGAAGCTTAATCACATAATTAAATAATACAATTAATTCTCAAATTTTGGTATAGTAAAAAACATATTAGGAGAAAAAAATGACCCTTTTGTGATTGATGGCTATATAATTGCCCGTGAAAGTTCTTAAATTTGGTTAATATATACAAATTCTTTCACAGATGGAAGATTGGTTTTTTAAGCTCTGAATTGATATTTTAAAAATGATTTTTTTTTAAGTGTTTATAAGAGCATGTTTGTTTTAACTTTTGAAAAAAAAGTATTTTTTATTTATTTTTAAGTATGAGTTTTATAAAACTGTTTTTTAAAATATTATAAATTTTTTATATTCATTTTTCTAAATTGAAAATTAATTTTAAAATTTTATAATATAAACATATATTATTAAAAATCAAAACATAGTCAAAATTGTAAATTTTCAAAAAATTATATTCTAAAATTGATTTTTATGAAAAATTATTTGAAATAAATTCAAAATTAAGTGATGTTTTTAAATATTGATATCAAAAAAATATTTTAATAAAAAAGAATTTTGAAATATGTAAAATAGTATTTTAAAAATAACTATTAAAAAAAATTTTCATTTAAAGTTTTTATAAAAAAAGTTTGTAAATATTTTTTACACTAAATTACGTTATAATCTAAAAATTATTTTTAAAAAAACCAAAACAAACTAACACTAAATTGAACTATAGATTAAATTTAAAATTTATTACAATTAAATCAAACTTAATTAAAAAGCTCATAAAATATTATTCACAATTAAACAATAAATAACAAAAAAACCTATATTTTTAAATTAGATACCCTAGAACAAACCCTAGACTTCTCTCACTATTGCAATTTAACAGTATAAAAACCTAAATTCAATTTCTATCACAAAAATTAAAATAAAATGAATAAAAATAAACATCACAAAAAAGAATAAGAATAACTAAATGAAAAATGTGTGTACCTAGGTAAGTTACACCCTGTGGGCTGCCATCTATACTTGAGATAAAATTGATCTGGTCTACCATTATTCTGACAATCAAATTCTTTCTCAATAAAAGGACACTGTGAAGTTTCATATAAAGGGTATGATTCATCATAAACCCATCTTCCTTTAAACAAATCACAACCACTCTTTACAATAGTTTTCTTGTGATTAATATTAACCTTCTTCCCATGTGCAAGGTTCATGGAAAGAGCATGAAATACCAAAACAAATATGATGATAAACTTCATGCTTGTTGTACTCACAATAAGGGTGTGTTTTCTTTTCTTTTGTTAATGGAAGTTGTTTGCAATTTTTGTGTGATAAGGTTTATATCTATTTATGTGTTGGAAGGAAGGAGAAGAGTTAACATCAAAAGGATTTAAATTGAAATGGATATGTATTATAAAAAACAAATACCAAATGAGTATGAGGTATAGGAGCGTGTGATAGTTATACGAAATATGTTGATTTTGTTTAATTAGATTCAACGTTTTTTAATGGTAAATAAGTACAATTAATGATAAGCGTAAATCCCATGCAAATAATGTCGGTAGATACATTTGACTCCACAAAATTTAGTATGACTAAGTTTTACCGCTAAGATTTTTAGAGATAAAATATAAAGTAAAATATATGAAACTAAATTGTAAGCACTTGGCAAATTGCATGGTGAATAACAAAGAAAAAGTGAAACATTTGTATAATAAAATGTTTAGTTTTTAGACAAAACCGTCGTTTTATATATAGGCCTGACTATAATTAACTTAAACAGAAAAAATGGTCTAACAAATTC